GCTTTCCAAATTCAAAGAATTGTCTTATGAAATGGGCCCTTAAGTTCCAAAGGCTCCTCAATCATAGAGCCATTCACAACAATTGAACACAGGGAGTTCCTACTATTTCTGTTGCAAGCCATAATGTGAAAGTACCTAGTGTTTTTATCCCCTTAGATACCCAGTTCAGTTAAGATTTTTGTAGCCAAATCCACTCCAACATTTTTCTAAACTTCCAAGCTTCTCCCCACACTTCCTTTATTCTAATCAATTCTACCCCAAGCAATGGTCTTTCCTCAGATAACAAATCAAGGGCATGGGCCTCCTCTTCAACCCTCTTAAGCTTCAATTTAACCTTACCAAAACCACTCCATTCCACTGTTTTAGTGCTTGTTTCAATGCTTTAAACTTCATAAGACACTTGTACCCTGCCCATCCTTCCACTACAAATTTTGACCAACTTGACTGGACAAAGGCTAGAAAAGTGGGGTGTAATAGCCAGGCATTGAGGAACCTAAAAGGCTTAGGACCCCAGTCCCTATTATCCTCCATTAAGATGATAGGACAGTGATCAGACAACATTCTAGGAAGACCCCATAATTTGAAGCTAAAATTTTGCACCCACTCATAAGTAAGTAAGAATCTATGATTTATGCTAATCATGATTTATGACAAGTTAAGTTATCCATGGAAACTCGAATAAGAAGTACTCAAATTTAAGAGTTGAAGTCTTAATTTGTAAGTATAAGTACTTTTTCTTAAATGCATTATACAAGTATTTTTTTTTAATGCATTTTAAGGATTTTTACAATTAAATGAGATTTTTGAATTGTTTGATTATTGGAAAAAAAAATTTAATAAGGATATGTTTGTCAAAACATTAATTTTGAATTGTGTAATCATAATTATTTCGAGTTTCTATTTCATTTCTAGCACCTGGAAAGTAATAAGTAAGAAATGTTATATTCTGATTTATATCTAGGGGACTTATGATAAGTTATGTTTTTAATGATCATTTATATCATGAAAAACCTAAAAGGGTATCTTTCAAGAGGAGTATTTAAGAGACTCGAAATAAGAATCACCTATATGAGTGTGAAGGGGTCACTTATATGAGAATTGATAAGGCTGAATTCTCTAAAGCATTCACGAAAACCAGGAATTGCCTAAAGCCAAAACGGGTACAACCGAAAGAACCAAGTTGTGTTCGGAGATATTTTGTGTGAATTTTATTGTCTTGGATTACATAAACGGCTTAACAGTTTAAGACATCACGTCCATTGATTAGCTAGTAAGTCTGATAATCTTTCACTAAGGAAGGTTCAAGGCCAAAAACTACCTATCCTGATGTAGGATATTTTCATTTTGTACTCTCTTTGTTAGTGTCTGCATTTCATTTGCATTGTGTCTTCAATTTCATTCTTGTGGAATTGTTGAAAAATTTTAGAAGTGAATGAGAATTGACTCTATTTGAATGAAAGGATGCAATCATTTATGGTATTTATCCATATGAAAGGGTGTGAACACAAGAGACGCGACCATTTTAAAGGTCACAAGTACTTTTATAAAGACTATCCCATCACATAGCATTGATACATAACTTAAGGTTTGTTTTAGGATTCATACATTTATATCTAGTCGAGTATATAAGAGAGAGTGCATGGCACAAATTGGTTCGTTGTACACACAGAAAGTTGTGTAATTTCTGTGTGGGGTGATCGTTATATCCTAGAGGCAGGACGTCCATTAATCAGAAGTACCAGAGGTGAGGGCGGCGAAATTCTGTCTTAAAGACACAGTGTGTGTTTGGTTTGTGTTTGTAAAGTAGTTTTTTGAGATAAAAAATACGAAAACTTGTTTGGTTTGCTTTTTTTCAGAAATGGTTTTGAAAAATTGTTTTGAAAAATTGTTTTAAAAAAAAGTGATTGATTTGATGTGTATGAGAGAGAGTGATTTTAAAAAGTAGGTAACCAAACAAAATTTTGAGATTTTTTTTGAAAATTTTGTTTGGTTTGATTACTCTTGAAAATTTGTTTGTAGAGAATTTTTCCCAAAATTTTTTCTGAGAAACAAACCAAACAAGGCCACAGTGTTGAACACTGGCATTGGTCGCAATCTATATTAAAACAGAATTTATGTAAGAAATTTATTGTGTTTTATTTTATTATTTATATGCATTAAATTAATTATACCGAAAATATTTTTCTACAATATGGTGGTTTCATGGAAATTATAACTTTTGTGATAATGTGAAATTATTAAGAGTTATATTGGATCATAAATTCAAGCCTATTTATGTATCCATGTGATAGCCATTAAAATAGTGATGTTGTTTATTAATAATAGGCTTGAAACACTATTCTTTTCACTTCTCTATATAGTTATGTGAGAGTGTGTTTACATATTTTTGAGTGGATTTATTTATACATTCAAAATTTGATCAATCAAATCATAATTTAAAAAATTGAACAACATATTTCTTAATAAAATATTTAAGTTCTCACATTTGTTACCGCCAAAAACGTTACAGCAAATGCAATAATCCCCAACTTTACCTTCCCAATACAACATCTAATAATTTTGAGAGAATATGCAATTTTTTTTTTTAATTTTTTTTTTCTTGCTTCTCTCTCTTCTTTTTATTTTTATTTTTATTTTTTCCTCTACTTTTTATTATGGATTGTGTTGCATTGGTTGGCTGCTGCTATATTTTGCACTGAACGTGTCGCCCGTGAGATGAGAATTGATAAGGCTGAATTCTCTAAAGCATTCACGAAAACCAGGAATTGCCTAAAGCCAAAACGGGTACAACCGAAAGAACCAAGTTGTGTTCGGAGATATTTTGTGTGAATTTTATTGTCTTGGATTACATAAACGGCTTAACAGTTTAAGACATCACGTCCATTGATTAGCTAGTAAGTCTGATAATCTTTCACTAAGGAAGGTTCAAGGCCAAAAACTACCTATCCTGATGTAGGATATTTTCATTTTGTACTCTCTTTGTTAGTGTCTGCATTTCATTTGCATTGTGTCTTCAATTTCATTCTTGTGGAATTGTTGAAAAATTTTAGAAGTGAATGAGAATTGACTCTATTTGAATGAAAGGATGCAATCATTTATGGTATTTATCCATATGAAAGGGTGTGAACACAAGAGACGCGACCATTCTAAAGGTCACAAGTACTTTTATAAAGACCATCCCATCACATAGCATTGATACATAACTTAAGGTTTGTTTTAGGATTCATACATTTATATCTAGTCGAGTATATAAGAGAGAGTGCATGGCACAAATTGGTTCGTTGTACACACAGAAAGTTGTGTAATTTCTGTGTGGGGTGATCGTTATATCCTAGAGGCAGGACGTCCATTAATCAGAAGTACCAGAGGTGAGGGCGGCGAAATTTTGTCTTAAAGACACAGTGTGTGTTTGGTTTGTGTTTGTAAAGTAGTTTTTGAGATAAAAAGTACGAAAACTTGTTTGGTTTGCTTTTTTTCAAAAATGATTTTGGAAAATTGTTTTGGAAAATTGTTTTAAAAAAAATGATTGATTTGATGTGTATGAGAGAGAGAGAGTGATTTTGGAAAGTAGGTAACCAAACAAAATTTTGAGATTTTTTTTTGAAAATTTTGTTTGGTTTGATTACTCTTGAAAATTTATTTGTAGAGAATTTTTCCCAAAATTTTTTTTGAGAAACAAACCAAACAAGGCCACAGTGTTGAACACTGGCATTGGTCACAATCTATATTAAAATAGAATTTATGTAAGAAATTTATTGTGTTTTATTTTATTATTTATTTTGCATTAAATTAATTATACCGAAAATATTTTTCTACAATATGGTAGTTTCATGGAAGTTATAACTTTGTGATAATGTGAAATTATTAAGAGTTATATTGGATTATAAATTCAAGCCTATCTATGTATCCATGTGATAGCCATTAAAATACTGATGTTGCTTATTAATAATAGGCTTGAAATACTATTCTTTTCACTTCTCTATATAGTTATGTGAGAGTGTGTTTACATATTTGTGAGTGGATTTATTTATACATTCAAAATTTGATCAATCAAATCATAATTTAAAAAGTTGAACAACATATTTCTTAATAAAATATTTAAGTTCTCACATTCGTTACCGCCTAAAACGTTACAGAAAATGCAATAATCCCCAACTTTACCTTCCCAATACAACATCTAATAATTTTGAGAGAATATGCAATTTTTTTTTTTTTTTTTTCCTGCGTCACTCTCTTCTTCTTATTTTTATTTTATTTTTTCCTCTACTTTTTATTATGGATTGTATTGCATTAGTTGGCTGCTACTATATTTTGCACTGAACGTGTCGCCCGTGAGAGACTCACATCAGTCAATATTGACCCTTTCAACTTTTAAGCATGTCTTACCCAGGTTGGTTTGGGTATTCTAAAAAAATATATTTTTTATCTTTTTACGAAAAGATGTGTAGAAAAGTAGAGAGGTGATGTAATAAAAAATAAATAAAAAGATAAAAAGATGGATTATATAGTAGATGCCAAACCAAGCCTGACTTGCAATTTAGGTGACCAAAAAGAACTACTTTTTGCTTATTTTTTGCCGTTTGAATCTTCATGTATGATGCCTATTAACTTCTATATATATATATATATATGAAGAATTATTTTTACTAATTCAATTAGGAATTGTGAAAGTTTCCTCATCAAAACTGACTTTAAAACATTAAAAAAAGAAAATTTCAATTGATAAAAGAATGTTTACAAAATATTTTGTCCAACACCAACGAGTTCATAATAGGAAACAAATAAATAACTGAAAAAATAAAAGAGTATAAAGATTCAATTTTTATTTATGACATAAATTTCATCCTAAACTCTCGGTTAAAAATGTAGGAAAGTGACCAATTGATCTGACAAGGAGCACAAATATTCAATTTTTGTTTATTACAAAAATGTTTACATATGAGCACAAATTAAAGTATACATGGCAACCATATACACAGTGAAAACACAAAAACAAGGGAGAGATAGAAATATTTAGAACATTTTCTTGAGAAACAAATTAACAACAAAGTTGAGGACAAGGGCAGCACAATCAGAGTATGGTGAAATTAAACTACATGAACGTTTGAATATTCGTGTTGTAACTTGAAACCACACTTTCTTCCCCTCTTATGAACTCACACTTCTTATTCCACTCTCAACCCATCATTAGCTTGGTAACTTCTTCTGATTTCTACAAACATGGCTTTTTGTGGGCAACACATATCCTTGAAACCCATTAGGGCTAATAAGACCAGTTCGGTTCGATGAGCTCGTCACGACACATCCACTTTCTTTTCTTGCAACTATTTTGTGGGCAAAGGCTGCATGGCAAGCAATTAGCTACCCTATCTTTAATAAATCTCCAGAGCTAAATCCTTTCCTCTACGTCAATGACTTTTGTTATCCCACTTTCATCACAATGATTCATCTAAGAGGGATAACAAAAGCCATCGACATGAAAGAAAGAATATAGTTCAGGAGATTTATTAAAGATATGGCAGCTAATTGCTTGCGATGCATCGCCTTTGCCCACAACAAAGTTGTAAACAGGAAAAAAATAGGCATGTTTATGAGGAGCTTGACGAAGCCAGACTGACCTTGTTAGGGCAAGTGAGTGTCTTGTCTTCTCGATCAATTAGTTGACCTCTATGTTCCCTGCAAAAACGAGAGAGAGAGAGAGAGAGAGAGAGAGAGAGTAGCAAACTGACACATTTTATATCAACAATGCAAAAGAAGAAGAAGAAGAAGAAGAAATGGAATGAAAATCATAATAAAGAAAAGAGTGAGATATCTACCTTTCGAATTTCAAATATGACCAAAATGAACCAGTTAGGATGTGTGAGTTTGAAGAAGTAAAGATTGTGAAAGAGGCTGTGTTTTGTTTTGAGTGGGAAAATGAAATTTTTTTTTTTTTTTTTTTTGGCGGTGGGTGGGGGGGGACACTCCAACATCAACATTGTGTACAAAATTTACTACACACAGCTAATAATGAAAGTTTATGTTAGAAGAGGTGAAGATTTATGGGTAGAATGGGGTTGAGAAGCTTAAGAACATACACACACACACACATATATATATATAGGGTTAGGGTTAGATGGGAGTAATGCAATATGTGAGGAAAGGCATATCTGACTTATCACTGTTAGGTGAAAAGAAAAAATGAAAATGACTTCAAATAAAAAGTATATACAGAAAATACATCTAGGATGATGCCAATCATATTTAGAAATGAAAAATGATTTATAAATAGAATACTCTTAGAAATTATGAGAAGGAAAATATTATGTACAAAAATTCTATCAATACTCTTAGAAATTATGAGAAGGAAAATATTAGGTCAACAAAAATTTTATACAAAATTTCATAACAAAATAACGTAACAAAGGCAATATTGGTAATATGAGCCATGATGGACCTTTATTTTTTAAATAAAAGACACAAAGCTGCCATGTCATTTTAGATCATAATTATGTATGAATTTTTGTTTATATAACGATAAATAAAGGGGGAAAAAAATACCAAAAGCTCGATTTAGACCTCATAAAAATTAAGATAAATTACAAACACACATTCTGAAATTTATTTAAATTATAAATTATCTCCAGTGATTCTAGAAATTACATTATGTCTCCTAAGGGTTTTAATTTCATAACAAATAGGTCTTTTTATTAATAAATCATAAAGTTAATTAACAGTCTTTAATAATGTTAAAATTTTATTTGAATTAATAATTCAAATAATTTTATTATTATATCGATGAACAATTAGAAATTTCGCTTTTTTAATTAATTTTGTTAAATAAATATTCTGATAGAGATGTATTTATAATTTTTCAAAATATAAAAAATAATTCATATTTTAAACAAAATTTAAAGAGTATATTTGTAATTTATCCTAAAAATTACAATAAAAGTGATAAGTTGAATAGCATTTATGAATTTCTGAGTATTTCTGATAGAGTATATTTGTCATGACAGTTTGGATGCAATTTGACGAATTTGCCTTCCGACCTCGAGTATGTTTCTTCTTTTTCTCACATCACATCAGTCACTCATATTCTCAATCACACTCATAAAAAAATGTCGTGAATAGAGGGGTAAATTTGTCAAATCAAATCACATTTAAATTTTCATAATTTTATAAAAAAAAATTAATTTGCCTTCGTATTTACTCAAAAAAAAAAAAAGCTAAACATGTGCAAAAATGTTCACGCATGAAAATGATTGATCAACTTTTTAGTTTCGATCAAAAAAAAGTGTTAGTCAGGTTCATTCATGAATTCTCGAGCCTCTATTATTGAAGGCAGTTTCGATTCGTGATTCGATTTTTTTGTGGTTTGAGCGGCTCAAAATTTTAAAACGATGTCGTTTTAGGATATTTTTTAATTCTCTTACCGGTAAGATAATATTTTCCGTACCATTCAAACCATTCGAACCTCACTTTGTCGAGTTACGAAACATTTTCCTATTGAAGGGTACATGGATCCCGCATTGATTTGATTTGACTTGACTCGGGTTGGGTCTTTCTTTGTTGTTTCTTGTATTGTAATTACGTCCAATGAATGGAACGAGGATCCTCTCCTTGCAGCTTCCGTCCTTGTGCCTGTCCTTGCAGGTTTTCGGATCTACTTTTAGGTTTAATTTTGATAATCTGAACCGTTCATACTTTATGATTTATTCAGTATATCATACTTGTAAAAAATCAAATTGATCGGATATCAGAAAGCATATGTTCGAAAAACTATTTATTAAATTCTTTAAAAAGTAGTTTTTAGTTCAATTTTTCGAACACATGCTTTCTGATAGCCGATCAACTTGATTTTTTACAGGTATGATATATTGAATAAATTATAAAATATGAACGGTTCGAATTATTAAAATTAAGCCTAAAAATAGACCCGAAAGCCTATAAAAACGGACGCAAGGACGGACATGCAAGGAGAGACTCTTGACTCCAATGAATGAATGATTGAATCATTCACATGGACTTTTCTTTTTTGTTTCTTGTATTGAAAATTATGCCCAATGAATGAATGATTGAATGATTCACATGCAATTTTGGCTTATGTTCAAGAAGGAAATTTCTCATATGAATCTCTATAAGGTTGTTTTGAATATAAATTATAAGTTGATTATTTTATTTATTATGAAAAGATGCATAAAAAAATAAATAATTAATGTGATTGAAATAAGTCAATAAAATCAATAACCAACTTATTTACATGCTTCTCAAAAAAGCTTTAGTATCATTTTTTATGAGATTATACCACGAATTTTCTAGGTTAACTTAAATGTTAAATAATTTATTTATTTTGTATGTTTATACAGTGTTGACATATGAAGTTGCATAATAAAATAGTATAAAAATGTGATAATTTGGTTTTGGATTCTAGAAAATACTTTTCAGAAAATTCTACTTTTTTATTTTTCATATTTTTTTTGTTTTCAATGAATTTTTTTAATATTTTAAGTAATTTTTTTAATTTTTAGACACACCTAACATAAATGCACTTAAAAAAGTATAATATTTGTGAAAAAATCTTTAAAAAATTTACTAAATACCAAAAATACAAAAATTCAGTACATTTTTTGAATTTTTTGTATTTATTAATTTTTTAAAATTACTATTTAGATACATCTAAGTAAGGTTCACCTAAAAAATTAAAAAATTACTTAAAATTTTAAAAATATTCACTAAAAATAAAAAAAATACAGAAAATAAAAAACTTAATTTTTAAAAATTGAAACCAACACATTGATTAGTTTTTTTCTTCAAATAGCCCAAATCAGGTTGAGGATTATAAAACAGGTTTCAATCCTTTGAGAGGAATTCCAGCCGATATTTTGTCTAATAAAAATATACATTTTTTTTAAAAAAAAATTTACTAGTTATTTTAGTTAATATGTATATCAACAGGACTTTATTTAATTAGCCATTCAAGATTTTTTTATTTATTTATCTTTTTTTTAAATAAAAAAATTGCATTCACTAATGAGATAGAAAAAGGGGAAGGGGAGGGGAATGAAGAGTGTATATATATATATTATGTTTGTATAGTTTTTAGTAGCTAACCAAATGTTGCTAGAAAGATTAGCAATAGATAAAATGTCTAGGCATGTGAAGAACTTGTTCGTGTTGCAAACCTGGATTAGTTTTTTTTATTTTATTTTAACGGCAAGTGGAATAAGTTGGATACTTTGACTCGCAGTCTTCATTTAGAAGGCAAGTTGAAGATGTTATTATAGTTTTTGTATGAACAATTATTGCGTAAAGAAAAATAATTCGTAAACTACTAAGTTAAAAATAGTAACAGAAACTCTAGAAATTTAGAACTAAAGTATAAAACAATAAATTAAATTAGGGACCAAAAAAAAATAAAAAATCAGGATTTGATCATTGTAATAAAATAAACTATGAATTTTCAATTTTGTCAATTTAAACCTTAATCTTTTAATTTGTAGTCAATTTAAATCATTCTCTTATTTTCGTTAAATAAAATTGATGGGAAAAAAAAGTTTTTTAGTCATTAAAATCAATATAGGTAAAATGTCTAAAATACACTTTTCATTGAGTTTAATGACTAAAATATTCATTTTTTAAATCAATTTTACTTAATGAAAATATGTAAATGATTTAGATTGAAAAAAAATCAAAAATTTAAGGTTTAAATTGATAAAATTAAAAAATCATGATTTATTTTGTTACAAGACTCAAATCCTAAGGTTTTTTTTTTTTTTTTTTTTTTTGTAAATGTCCCATTAAATTAAACCATAGATATGTACAGTAGAAATTTCAAACAAAAATATTATAATTGAAAAAACTTACCGTCCTATGGGAAAAAAATTACAAACATAAATTTGGATCAAGAATTGTGTTGGGCATAATTTTTTTATAGTAGATTTTTCCTTTGCTCTCGTATTTCGAGATTTACCGATGTATGTTTCTTAAAATACAATGACTCTTCACCTGCAAATGCAATAATGCACGTCAAAGTCTGACTAACCAACAAATGTTTTGAACTCTGCCACTCTCCGAACTATGCACTCACAAAATGCATAAATAAAAAGACATAAACACAAAAGAAATATGGAAAGTAGAGAGCGAAACATTAAATGTCTAAGGCCTTATTTGTCATCCTCTCAAAAAGTTAAAAAGTTAAAAAGTCATTATCATATTTAAGTCACATTATCTTATTTAAGTCACATCGCCTCTCTATCACATCACTTCAAACTCAATCTATACCCAACCCATATTTCATACACTACAAGAAAACAGCCCAAATAACACAGAACTTTTTGCGACGGCATTTTCAAACCGTCTCAAAAATAGTCTTTTGCACGGCATTTCCAAACCGTCTCAAAAAATAGTCTTTTGCGACGGTGGTGATCCCGTCGCTAATGCATATATCACAAAAAAAACATAAAACATTTGCGACGCCTGATGTATCGTCGCAAAATATTTTTTTTTGAGATGGGAACATTTACTGTCGCAAAAGCCTTGTTAAAACGGCATCATTTTATTTGATAGAATTCATCATTTGTGACAGTTTAAGTATGCCGTCGCAAAAAGTAATGAAATTTTTCAATCCTGCTCATTTTAGCCTATTCGCGATCATATGTTTCCCCAAAATCCCCAAACCTTTCTGAACCAACCCAAAATCCCTAAAATCTCTAAAACCAAAATCCCCAAAAGCATCTAATCAAAAAAAAAAAAAAAATCCCCAAATCCATTTTGAAGCAAAATCCCCAAAGCCCTTGAGCCAAAATTCAACGACAGTGACGGACGACAATGGTGTTCGACGACGGCTAGCAGCGAGGGAGCAGCAAAGCAGATTCACGAAGCAGAGTCAGATGACCTAGGGTGAATCACGAACCAACCAAAGGCCTAGGATCAGAAGCAACAAAGATCATATTATATACATATATAATATGTATGTATAATGATATAAAGGGAGAAAAAGTGAAGAAACACGTAAACTAATATGGTCCGTGTATGCAACTGAAGAACATGATTCTTCTTCTTCTTCTTCTTCTTCTTCTTCTTCTTCTTCTTCACTCTCCTCATTCCATTCACCATCGTTTTTCTTCGATTCGCAAATCGCTTATGTTCCGATCGAGTCTCTCTTTGTCTCTACAAATGAAGAAGGAAGCTTCATCGATTTTATTGACCTTGGAAGGGCTCGAAGACGTCGATGAGTTCGTCAGGGTGAGCCTTTCTTTCGCTTGTTTGGTTAGTGAGAAAATGTATACGATGAAACGAAATCAAATTCTTTGAATTTTTGTTTTTTTGAGTATTTGGCAGAGTTTCGTAGAAAAGCTGTGTTTTCATATTGTCAGACGAAGTGAGGGTTTATGTATTTTTTTTTTCGTGGAGGAATTTGTGAATCTCTGTGTGATTTTTTTTGATTGAGAATGTGTGGATTGAGATGCAGGCAAGCGAAGTCGGTTCATCCGTGACGTTTGAATGGTTTTGTCATGTGAATAGATCTCATGCAGATTGGGAACCTAGCTTTCCGAGAAAATCGCTTCGAAGAGGTGAAATTCTTACTCCTTTAGTTGCTTTTCCCTCATATTCCTGGCAGTTTTAGTTGTTATTTTTATTTTTGTTTTTTTGTCATTTTTTGTACTTGAAAACTGAGTGGACAAGAGGAACTAGCTAGAAATTTACGGGTTTAATTTGGTTGTTTTAACAAGTTGTTGAATGTACTCTGTTTTCTTCCCCTTTTTTCTTTTTTTGGTTTTTTCTTTTTTCTTTTTTCTCAAAGAATCCTAATTAAGTTAAATTGGGAAGTATAATGGTCATTGTGAATTAACCAGGAAACTAGTGATAAGCATATACATAACAATTGAATTCTATATACGTAATGTTGCCAGTCCAAATGGTGTAGAAAAAAGTTTAATTTGATGCATTGCTTCAATTTTTGGTTACAAACCTATCAAATGCATCCAAATAGCTAGGATTCATGGGATGTGTCAAATTAAGCCTCCTTATGCCATTTGACGCCCTAGTATCCAACCGCAAATAATGTACGTCAGCATTGCCCTTTTTGCTACTTGCCCTTATGCAACTCAACGCCCTGTGATGGTCAACATATTGTCCACCTATACCTATCAAAAGTAAAATTTTCAAAACAAAAAGAAATGATTTTAGTTAGTACACTTGTTGTCTGATTCAACTAGCTTTGTAATGTACTCGTGATTCTAATTATTTGTCTTTTTATTTCCTATAATGAAAAAGCAACCAAACTCTGCTCATGAAGATTGTGATTTTTCTACTTGGATTGGATGCAGTTAGCGTAAGTGCAATAGAGGCTCTTTATGAACTATTTAAGAAGATTAGTAGTGCAGTAATTGATGACAGTTTAATCAACAAGGTTCGTCTATATCTTTGTGGAAAATTATTGTTGCATTTTTTAACATGTTAAGATGATATGCTATTGTAGTACTGCTCTTAATAACCATGAATTTGATGCTATTCTTTATATTTTCTAGTGTCAATGTGTTGTTACCTCTCCACAATCTAACTCTTGTTTCTTGAATGCTTTCTTCTATATAATATTGCAGGAAGAGTTTCAATTGGCGTTATTTAAAACGAACAAAAAAGAGAGCCTATTTGCTGATCGGGTATTTTATTTTTGATTACTATTATTCTTGTTGCTCTTGTTAATGTTCACCTTAACTAGACATTCTCTTAAACTAGTTTTCATGTGTTCTTTTTCTTGCACTGCATTTTTTAGAGCACCATGAATTATGAACTTTTCCATACACAGACTTTGTTAGTGATAAAAAAAAAAAAAATGCATATTATATATGTAGGTATAAGCACAGTCATGTATAGATGCATGTTTATTTGTGTGTTTGTGCCTGTTTTAAAAGCTGCAAACTAGGAATATAGAAATATTTGTGTATTTCTGTGTTGAAAGTGAATTATGTTGGAATCACTCATCATTATGTTGATATATAGTTTATAGATGCTTCAGAACAAATATGCTAAATCTTCTAAAGCTATTCTCATCCTAATTTTTTAATAATTTCAGGTATTTGACTTGTTTGACACAAAACATAATGGCATCCTAGGCTTTGAAGAATTTGCCCGCGCACTCTCTGTATTTCATCCGAATGCCCCTATCGATGATAAGATTGAGTGTATGCTAGAATGCTCTACAATATTGCTATGATGATGGGAATTTTTTGTTGTAGTTCATTTAGTCTGAAATTTCTACTTTGCATTTTCATTACACCAATAATTTTGTGTTGCAGTTTCGTTTCAATTGTACGATCTCAAGCAGCAAGGTTTTATTGAGAGGCAAGAGGTAACTACTTGCATTTTCATGAACTGTTTTGAGACCTAAATTAATTAAATTTGGACTTTCCATAGGCTGTGATGGCTTCCATTATTTTCACTTTTCTGTTTTTCACTGGTCTTAATTAATATTCTATGATCACTGAAATCTACTCTATTGTTTTCTTATTTGGTTTAGTGAATTATATGAATTGCTAATAGATACCAATATCTTATCCCATGAAAAATCCATAAACCGTGACTTGACTTGAGAGGCATTGCTGAAAAAAGTTTGCTTTGTTGTTTAAGTTTCAGTAACTTTTCCATGTGCTAAGACACAATGTGTTTTTTTTCAATGGAGCACAATTCACATAGGGACAATACGTACACAGAAAAATATCAACTAAGGTAAGAAACTATAAAGCCAAAATATGAACTACCATTGTTGGGTGGGAATATATTCTCAAACGTTCTTCTAAGCTATATTTCTTTATTATTGGGTTGGAACCTTAAAAACAATGTAGGAACTGTAGGTTGAATGGATAAAATGATCGTTGTATTTTTACCAGTTGTTTTGTTGAAAGTTTGAAATGAAACAGAGTCCAAACATAATTATTATATTTTTTATAAATAAATAAAAAACACTAGTATGAAACATAATGTTCAAGTTTCAAACACCAGAAACAAAACTTTGGCTCTTCATAAATTTGTTGTGCTATTGACAGTTAAGAAATCAGGCACAGGCATATGAATGCTTTTGAAATTAATATGTTGTTGTCATGTGAATAGCAATACTGTACAAAATGTACAAATTACAGTGCCATGGATCAGTTGTCATAAGATGAGAAAACAAATCAAATAGGGTGAACTTTCAGGATCTATATCAATGTAAGAGATTTAGCCTAATAATCCACCAGATAAGAAAACCCAAACCTGAAGAAGATAGACAGAGATGAGAAGCAATCTATTCATGATCTAATTTTTGCCAACCCATATCTCACTTTGTTAAAAGAAATTGTTATAAATTGTGACTTGTAAGGACATAATGTTCTTTCCTCAAAACAATCAGTTTTAATGCCATCAGAGTCGTGAGTCAAAAATAAATAAATAAATATTCCTAGAACCTTTGGCTGCAACAAAACTATGAATCCTTATTCTGCCAATTTTTTATATATATAGTAGTTAATTTTTTATTTTTTTCTGTAATTAAAATATTAACACAATTATATTGTCATTAATTATTTTTATTTTGTTATTTTCAGATATTTTCGGAGTAGTAGTTTGCTTCTTGTGGAATGCATGCGTGTAAAGATTAAAATATTAACCCACGAAAGAATCATGACGAAAACTTTTGTTTTTAATTTATGTTATTTAGATTTGTGAACAACATTATGTATGTATTATGCAACATTATGTATTGAGATAATTTTGCTGATGTATTGTTATGAATGGAAGAATATTTTAATTATGGATGAATTTTTATTTATATACTGGACTTTTTATATTATTATGTAATTATTGATTTTTTTTAGTTATTTTTCATTTAATACATGTCATTTTCATATTTTTAATAATTTTATTACAAATTTTTTTTTTTTTTTGAGACGGCAGCACACACACCGTCTCAAAAAGAAAAATAGAACCATGGTTTTTTGCGACGACAGTAATGCTATCACAAAAGATAAGGCATTTGGTTGAAAAAGAAGATTTTTAGCGACGGTATTTGTGCCGTCACAAATAAACCTTTAGCGACGGTATTTGTGCCGTCGCAAATAACCCTTTTAGCCACGGCAACACAGTGCCATCTTAGAAAAACTCAGATTGTCACGCATTAATGGCGACAGCATTTTTCCATCGCAAAAAGGCATTTTTGACGTCGCCTTTTTTTTGCAACGACGTTATACCGTCGCTAAAACCCTTTTGCAACCCCCTTTGTTGCGACCCCCCACTTGCCGTCGCAAAAGGTCAGTTACCGTCGCAAAAAACCTTTTGAGACGGCGTTTTGGGTATTTGCGACGGCATTTTACCGTTGCAAAAAAACTATTTTCTTGTAGTGATAAAAAGTAAAAAAGTACACTTATTTAGAACATCTCAAACAACCCTTAAACTTGCCGGAGTGAGGAGCTATTTATAGCCTTTGTGGTGGCTGTTCAAATGGGCCGAAAGTTGCGAATCATCATACCGGTAACGGTTGGGACCCGACTACTCAAGTTTGAATTTATTTAAATTTTTCTCAATTTACGTCTAATTAAATTGAACGATACCACTGTTTAAATTATCATGTTTAAATTTTTCAGTATTGATGATTGCTTTGATATTATAGGAGCTATTTATAGCCTTTGTGGTGGCTGTTCAAATGGGCCGAAAGTTGCGAATCATCATATCGGTAACGGTTGGGACCCGACTACTCAAGTTTGAATTTATTTAAATTTTTCTCAATTTACGTCTAATTAAATTGAACGATACCACTATTTAAATTATCATGTTTAAATTTTTTAGTATTGATGATTGCTTTGATATTATAAGAATATTACTACCACAATCAAATTACACATACAATACTGGAGTTTTACTAAAAGTAAGAAACAAAATTTGCAAAAAACAAAATTTGCAAAAAATTAATTGAATGTTTTACCAAAAGTAGGGAACAAATTTTGCAAGAAACCAAATTTGTATAAAAATAATTAACTAAAAAGAATTAATCTGTATCATTACAAATAAAAATATTTGTCTTAAAATTGTAGGAAAAATATGTTCGGTAAAATCAATTTAATGCAAATAAATAATAAAATAAAACACAAGAAATTTCTTATAGAAATTCTGTATTTAATGCATATTGTGACTAAGGCTAGTGTTTAAATACTGTGTCTATAACATAGAATTTTGCCTTTGCCTTTGATGCTTGCAATTAATGAACGTCTTGCCTCTAGGATATAGCGATCACCCTACACAGAAATTACACAACTTTTTGTATATACAACGAACCAATTTGTGCCATGCACTCTCTGTTATATACTCGACTAGACATAATTTATAAATCCTAAAACAAAACTTAACCTATGTATCAATGCTATGGGATGTGATGGTATTTATAAAAGTATTCGTGACCTTTAGAATGGTCATGTCTCTTGGGTTCACACCCTTTCATACGAATAAACACCATGAAGGAATACATCATTTCACTCAAATGGAGTCAATTTCCTTTCCCTTCTAAAATTTTTCAATTGGATAGTGGGTATCTCACATGTTGGGTACCCAAATATTACTGATTAAATATATAAATAATATTTATATCATAATATAAATAAAAACTAATGTGGCATGTGGACCACTTAAATGGGGACATGCTTACAAGGAATTGAGTCGAATTAGATAATAAATTTGTTGAGTTTAAAATTTTAATAAAGTATAAAATGTTTATAAATTAAACTTGTTTGTAGAACGAACTAATCACGAACAAATGTATGACAAGTTGAACACAAATCGAAATCAAGTAATTTAGTGCATTGTATCCCAAATAATAATGTAATTATTTTATTTTTACATCCAAGAGAAAATAAATGAAAAAAAAAATGTTACATGAATTATTTTATTTTTACATCCAAGAGAAAATAAATGAAAAAAAAAATGTTACATGAATAGTAAAATGTTATATTTTTTCACATCAAAAAAAGTATTGACTTTTAGTTCACCACAAAAAACTGTAACAAAAATCAAAATAGTATTATTTGGTGCAGCTTGTAATGTTATTATTATTATTATTGTTATCATTATTTTTATTATTATTATTATTAATTGGAAAGTCTATGTCAAAGTATTTTGTATAACTTCTATTTATAAATTATGATATAGAAATAGATTTAAAAAATTGATTATTTAAAAGTTGGTGAAAATATACTTTTAGTTTTTTAGTATAAACTTACAACTTGAGAAAAAATTACACCAAAAAAAACCTAATATTCATAATATAATTTTAAAGAGTAATCATGAAAAGTTTTCTTAGGATGTGTCATTTGTAATTACACTACTTTGATTCATATCTGTCACTTCCATTATAAAATTTATAATTTTATTATGACTACAGGTGTGACTGGTATCATTTTTCAGATTTTTTTTACTTGCTTTTCTTACACCCAAACAAAAATATAGTGAGTCCCATACCATTTATAGTTATTAACATAGATCTATTCCTTTGTGTTTACTGGTCAAAAATAAAGTAAAAAACATATTTATGTATAAAATTACTCTATTTATATTGTTTTATTATTGATTTGAATTAGTTGTCCCAGTTAAGTTAGACAACAAAAAAAAATTTAAAAAAAAAATTCTATATAATACCAAAGTCTGAAAATTCAACTTTTTTTTTGTGACTTTTTAGTTTTTAGTAAGGTGAAAGCCGCGGGGGGTGGGGGGATTTATTAGGAAATTGTTTTTTAAGTACTTGTATCCTAATTAATCCATAACTTATTCTTATATTCCAATTTATTATTTATATTTGATCCATTAAATTCTAATTATTTTATGGATAATTTTATCCTTATAAATAGTTTTTGAATGTTTAGCAATTTCTTGATATGAATGTTCACATTGATAGTGTAAACATTCACACTAGGGAACAGAAGCAGGAAAGGAAAGAGGAGAGGAAATAATAACACTAAAATAGATAAGTAAACAATTATAAACAGAAAACAGTAAAACAGTTTAAATAAACATACATTAATAAAACTTACAATTGTTTACTGGAATGAAGCAAGCAGTTCTTCAAAATACATAATTTGAAAACAATTTTCGAAAATATAAAATTACAGAGAGAGCTATTTTCTTGAGGATGGAATGCTCTCAATTTTTTTCTAACTCTACCTTATTCTTGACTGAAGAAGCCCTTTTATAATCAAAAGAGATTACTGTTAGCCTTGTGAGTGAATACTATTAGCCTTGTGAGTGACTTGAAAGGAGCATCAGGAGCACATGGGAGCTGTCTGCTGCTTTTGGTGAGTGACTAAAGTTGATGGCTGCCTTTTACTGTGCTGAATTTGTCGGTGGAATGAATCATGGTGAATGATGAATAGTAACTTTTTGATAAATAGTGAATAGTAAAGTTGACTTTTTTCACTATTCATTGCATGGAGGCATGTGGCTGAGGGAATCAATATAGATATATATATATATATATCAGCAGTTTTTCTCAGAAGACGAGTATTGATTGAAGCTGATAATAATAGCTATATAGAATCCAATGACTGAATTAAGCATATGGATCCTGAGCATCTTGAAACTCGGGTCCGTATGGATTTTGAGTAGTTGAACCTTCAGAAAAGTTTGAACTGTCTGAACCATCTTCTGAACTGCTGGTATCTGAGTCTGACTTGGCTTGGGCCACCATGAGGAGACGAGCCATTTGGAGGAGCTCATCTTTAGATGACTTGGACTTGGGCTTAACCTTTCATTTGGACATATCCTTTGACTTGGGCTGGTCAGTACTGGCCTTTGCTGACTTGGATTTAATCTTTGATTGGATGACTTGGGCTTGGAAGAACTGGATGTTGGGCTTCCAAGATTGACTGGAGGAAGTTGGCTTCCTTGTGTTAATGGA